CAGCTGAGTCCGTGACTGAAGAGAATGTGCCTGGTCTTTGGCCCTCAAAAGCAGGGACTGTAAAGTTTTACCACAAATCCTTAACCTACAGTAGATGCCTGTCACAGTGGGAAAGCCAGGCTCTCTGCCCATTGTCTGCCCTCCAGGAAGGGAAAGACCAGCTGGAGGGCATCTCTGAGTGGTTGGTGTTCAGCTTACTCAAAGCTCAGTCCTGGTCCATCAGAAGAGGGCCTGAGGGGCTGGGGAGATAGCTCAGTTGAATAAGTGCTTCCCTGGCAAGCACAAGGGCCTGAGTTCAAGCCCTGGCTCCACAAAAAAAAGAGAAGAAGAAGAGGGCCTGGACTGGTGATGTGTGAGCAGGAAGCCAGGCTTCAGGGCTGGGGAGGAGCCCTGTGCAGGGAGATTTCAGTGGAGTGACAGGCCACACAGAGGTGACCCATGGACTCAAAAAGAGTGAATATCAGATTCCAAGGAAATGCTACAGTGTGGTGGGTCCTGGCTTTGGAAGAGAAGTCTAGAAAAAGAGCCCATTTGGAGAAATAACTGTTCAACAGAGTCCTGACTTAGAGTGACCACTCTAAGACTGGGAGCCATGCAAGTGAAGTCCATTTAATGAGAACAGCTGGGACATCACTGTCCCAGGGCCCATTGGTAATGGGCTGGAGAAGACCCCACAATCTTTCGCCACTTTTACAAAAGAGAAAGGAGGAAACACAGAAGGAAATCACTGGTGAAGGTGTGAAACTGACTTGGGTCTAATAAGATGAATGTGGCCCAGTGTCTGCCACTGAGGGAGAGCAACAGAAATCCTCAGACAAACGCCCAACCTGAGCCAGGCATAGGGACTACTGGAGACATCCAGCCTGGCCATGCCTGGCAGGGCTCAGTGGCTTTGCCCTGCAGCGGGTGCCATGACATGGGGCAGGCCCTGAGCCACCTGTTGCTAAATCCAGATTCCTGAGCTCTGCTGATTACCTTGTGTGACACTGAAGAAGATATATTTATTCTCAGTCTGTTTCCTGGCATAAAACTCCTAAAATAATAAATGTCCTAGTTGGACATGGTGGCACATGCATGTAATCCCAGCACTCAGGAAGCTGAGGCAGAAGGATCATTCCAAGTTTGAGACCAGCCTGAAAAGTGAGCTCAAGACCAGCCTGAATTCCACAGTGAGATCCAGTCTCAAAAAGACAAAAGAAAGGGTGGGGAGATGGCTCAGTGGAATAAGCACTTCTCTGGCAAGCGCAAGGGCCTGAGTTCAATCCCCGGTTCTACCAAAAAAAAAAAAAAAAGGGTGGGGAGACAGGAGGAGGAGGTGGAGGAAGAGGTGGAGGAGGGGGAGGAGGATTCAGACCCGCCCTCCTGTCTCAGGGAGGGGAGAGAGGCTGAAGTCTTGGCAAATTCCAGGGGCCAAATTAGTTAATCAGTCATGTCCATCTAATGATTTTTCTCCAGAAAAACCCAGAAGCACAAGGTTTGCTCAGCTTCACACATGGTGGCTCCTAAAGGTGACTCTCCCAGAGACAGTACAGGAATCCCACCCCACTCCCAGAGTCCATCTGTAGCTGTCTGTCTGTCTGTCTGTCTGTCTGTCTGTCTCTGTCTCTCTGTCTCTGTGTGTGTGTGTGTGTGTGTGTGTGTGTGTGTGTTACTAGGGAGTGAACCCAAGACCTTCACACGGAACTGCACCCCCAAACCTTTTACACTAAGTTGCTAAATTACCCAGGCTGGGCTCAAACTTAGCATCCTCCTGCGTCAGCCTCCTCCAGTACTAGGATGACATGTGGGCACCACCACACCCCGGTGGGAAGGTGAGTCGTGAGGTCTTAGAGTCCTGTGAAGCCCTCTGCCACAGAGGGGGCTCCTCCCGCTACCACTCACACCAGCGGAGGTTGGCCCGGTGCAGTCCCGTGGTGTTCTCAGAGACTGCATGAAGGGCAGCAAGTGTGGAAGCGACGCAGCTAGGACTACTCAGCTGACCCCAGCCCCTGCTGTGAGCAGGGGCCACAAGCCCCCCAAGGTGGTGTGCTGGGCACTGTAAGGATTTCGAGAACGCATCGCACCGAGCGCTTCTCGGCTTAGAGGCCCGGGAGCCGCGCGGCAAAGATGCGCACTGGTCTCAGGAGGTCGGAGTGGGACCGCAGCGCGCAGCCAACGGGGCGCAGCGCCCTCTGGTGCCGGGAAGAAGCACCTGGCGGCCGGGCGCCCGCTCCTAGGCTGGGGGCGGACTTCAGGGAGGCAGGAGGCGGAGCCCAGCGGGCTAGCGCTACTCCGAGAAACTTGCGGCCTTCGGCTGCTTCCCGGCCCGGGAAGTGAGCCGGGGTCGACAGCCGCAAACAGGAAGTCGGGCTGGAACAAAGCGCGGGGGTGGGGGCGGGAGCCCGGGAGCCCCGCGGCGTCCGGCGCGGCAGCGGCAGGTGGAGGGCTGACCCGGCGACCGGGCGCACCTGCCGCTTCCGCCGCCGCCCGGCCCGCCGGGATCCAGCCGGGCTTCGGGCTGGTCCGCGCGCCCCGGGCCCAAGGGAGGGCACAGCGGCTCGGGCAAGGCCACGGGGACCTCCCAAGCGCATCCCTTCCCCGAGAAAGGACAGTCACAGTTCCCCGAGTGAATCACTTCCATCCCCTTCCCGGAATGCAGCAGGCCACGTGGGGCGGAGGCTAGGTCCACTGGTGCTGTGGGCCCACGAGGGGAGAGGCGGAGAGCTGCAGGCAGGGAGCCAGCGATGCTCCCGGGCCCCCTGGGTTGAGTCCAGTGCCCTGGTTGAGCCTGAATGGGAGAGGCTGGAACCACCCTTGTACCCCTTAGCCACACGCTTGCCGGAGACAGCAGAGGGCTCCAGGCCGAGCAAGTTAGAATAAAAGCGTTTCACAACCCTGCCCTGTGCTCTCCAGAGATCTCCAGGTGGTCACTAGCCCAAGAGTCCTGGAAAAGCAGCTGTCCTCAGGGCTAAAGGTCACCGTGTGGTCAGATTGATTCTCTAGGCAGGGCCCTGTTTCCAGGCTGTTAAGTGCTAAACCAGGCGAGGTGGCGCCACCTGTGAACCTGTAATCCAGCACTATGGGAGACTCAGGAGGATCAAAAGTTCGAGTCCAGGCAGAGACTTCGCAAAATTCTGTCTCAAAATAAAACATTAAGGGGCCAGGGAGATGGCTCAGTGGAGCAAGCGCAAGGGCTTGAGTTCAATCCCGGTTCCTCCAAATAAATAAATAAATAAACCTTTAAGGGGCCTGGGAGATGGCTCAGTGGAATAAGCACTTCCCTGGCAAGCTCAAGGACCAACGCCAAGCTTCTCAGAATTCACCTGTGAAATACCATGCAAACTAAACATGGGCATTTGAAACCACTTCATGGTGAATCTGGAGTGGTGCTCTAGCCTTGTTTCTGCCTGGCACATCTGAATACCTGGACACTCATGTGGTCAGGAAAGCCTTAAGTCCCTTGCTGCTAGGAAGGGGCTGGACCCTCAAGAGGGACTTTCAGGAAGTCCCAGAGAGAGGAGGGATAGATGCAGCCCGTTCACACCTAAGTGTCTGGCCTGCTACAGGTGGATCGAGCTGTGGGATGAAGCAGCCCATGCCAAATGCATGCATGGGTTCTCACACTCCCCTAAAAGCCAGAATGGTCAGAGACTTTCCCAACTCCCCACCTAGAGTATCAGAGCCTGTGAGTACAGTTAGCCAGCTCTCCTCTGGCAGCCCCTGCAGCCCAGCACAGCCTGGTGGTGTGGACGTGCAGGCCTGCGAGTGTCCTACCTGTCCCCCACATGGGAGCCTCGTCATCTTGCCTTCTGTCCCAGCCCAGTTTCCCCCGCCTCTCCCCCCCAGGGCCCGGGAGCTGCTTTCCTGTTTCATTTTGGGCAGGAAGAGTGAGGTCGTGTTGTTCTTCCCCCTGCTGCCGGCTCAGGCTGTGGGAACAGTTCCCTGAATCCTTTCCTGTTTGATACCCTGTGTGTGCAGGGAAGGGAGCAGGGAGCAATGGCAAGGCAGAGAGCATTGCATGCCCCTGTGCTCTGGAATGAGCACCCATGTCCAGGGCTGGCGCAATGTTGAACACCACTAGGAGTGAAGCACCTGAGGGCTCTCTTTTGCTTTCCTGTGGACAGGCTGAGAGCTAGGAACATCTGCTCAGATTTTTGTCAATGGTTCATTTTGTCATGATTTGTTCTCCACGGGGCTATGTTTGCAGCTAGAGAGATAGGAGTGTGGCACCCTAGGGACTATCCTGTGCCTTAGAGGAAGCAGGCATGAAATAGACTGGAAACCCCCTCATTAGCTCCTCAACCTGAGAAACCCAGTTTGCAATAAAGTTCAGCAGCTCTGGGCAGACAAGGGCCCCAGACCCTCTGCTCTCTGCCAGCTGCACAGTGGATGAGCCCAAGGCAACCCCCATGCTAGTTCCCTACAGAGGCTGAGATGAGCAAGGTGACAACAGCTGAACGAAGGACCTAGATGGACCTCGTGGCTTAAGAGGCCCCACTGTCTGATGAGGGAATCTTTTTTTTTTTTTTTTTTTTTTTTTTTTTTTGGCGGCACTGGGGATTGAACTCAGGCCCTTGAGCTTGCCAGGGAAGCACTTATTTTACTAAGCCATCTCCCCAGGCCCCGGCGGAATCCTTTTGAATAAGAAAATAGCAGCCCTGGGAGCTCCATAAACTTCTTCCGGTTTTAGGAGAGTCCAACCAGAGAAACATTCTCTCAGGAATGAGTAGAAGCAAAAATGGGGTACTGAAAAATAGAAATCAACCCCAAAGTCATCAGGCAAGGAAAACTGGCCCAGGCCAGACGAGTGAGGCTGGGCTCCCCCAGGACCACTGAGGACAAAGGCCCTTCCACATTACACCAAAACCAAGTGTGTCCCCAGGTCACAGGGATTCCAATGGGATGGGGCTCTTGGCAGCAACATGAGCATGGGGTTTAAGAATCCTTTGGGGTGAGAAAGCAGGGAGAGGATTCCCACTCTGCCATCACAAAGACAGGACCCAAGAAATAATAAACTCCTGTACATATCTGTTCCATATTATAAATACACATTATATACAAAATAATGTTATAAAATGTAGAAAGGCCAGTGCTTCTGATTCTTAAATTATCGAAATACTAGATTTCAAAATAGACTAAAAAAACAAACAAAATAAAAAACTCATATTATTGATTTCTGAAGATTGGTTTCTAGGGGCAGTAGTGAACATGGGCAGAGCCCAGGCTCGAGGTCGTAGGAATAGATTTGAGGGAGGCAAGTGCCCAGGTGGCACCAGACCTGCTTTCTCCCTCACTAGAATTTCCAACATAACTGCTCCCAGAGCTCCTTGGTTAGGCCTGGCACTCATGGCTGGAGATGGGCAGGCCTTCTACCTGTCTGCTCATGAGAGTCCAGAGCACCCAGGGTCAGAGGATTGTGGGAGCAGGTTAAGCTTTAGCAACACTCGCCTGCCCCGAATGTAAAGGCCAGGAATAGGCTGGGCGGCCTTCTGAGCAAGGCCCATATGCAGCAGTTGGGGACAAAGGGCCAAAAGCACTCCTTGCCCCTGGAGCACTTCCTCACCTGCAGGGCAATGCCTGCCAGGAGCCACACCCAGGGGCTTTCCTGCCACAAGAGACCCTGCCCTTACTGGCCTCCTTCTTTCTGATTTAGGCCCAGATGTTGCTATGGTGCCTGGGACAAAGGCACTTTCAGAACACAGATACCAGTGGAGGCCACCGTTACTCCAAGCTCCATGGGGCTAGTGCCGCTCTTCCTGGAACAGGTCAGAGCCCCAGAAAGTGCCTCCAAAGCCCACTGATAGTGCAGATCTAGGTGGCACCCTCCTCTCTGGCTGGCACAGCTCCATGTGATGCCAGCAGACACCCAGAGGTGCGTAGCATGTCTTGGCAAGTTCACAGTCCCTCCGGTTCCTGCCATCCCCTCTTCCTCCTGAGAGCAGCACAGTGCATAGAAACGTCCCATCCAGGATGCAATGTAAACAGTGCAGAAGGAAGGTCCAGCCACTGGGCCAAAGCTGGGGTGTTCTGGGCAGGCTTGTGCCTTATACCTGGGGAGAATTACAGAGTGCCAAAATGGTTACACCAGGAATAAGTACGCCCTCCCCAGCTGTCCTGAGCCTCTCTGGGTGAAACCAGTAGGTATGCAATAGTAAAGGAAAAGGGGACAGTCCCCCCAATCTGCCCCAACACGTGCACGTCAAGCAGCTTTCATTTAGTGGTCCAGTGGAAGAACCTATTCTCTCTCTCTCTCTCTCTCTCTCTCTCTCTCTCTCTCTCTCTCTCTCTCTCTTTCGCATTACCAGGGATTGAACTCAGGACCTTGCGCTTGCAAGGCAAGTGCTTAATCTACTGAGCTATCTCCCAGGCCCAGAAGAAGCCCCTGGGAGGGGGTGGGAGGACATCCTCAGCCCGTGCACCTTGGAAACAGTGCCTAGGAGCTAGCCAGATACTACACTACCATGCCCAGATGTGACACTGTGAGAGAGACCAGGCCAGGAACACCACTGGCTTCCATTTCACACTGTCAGAGACTCATGACCCAGGGGATGTGACCTGCTAAGATGCAGTTCTGACCCCCTCTGCAGGAGAGGGTGTGGGGTTGAGAGTGACCACGTCTCTTTTCCATCTACACAGAGCAGGAGTGGACAGTGGAGGCAAGCCTGGTACTCACCTCCGTGGCAATGACACATTCGTTCCTCTCTTCTGATATCAAACACACAGACTGGTACATAGACTCCCTGGGGGAGCATATCGCTGATATTCGACACTCTGGCTTTTCACTGAGGGAATATAAGACAGGAGAGTGTGAGGGAGGAGGGGAGGGAGGAAGGGGGAAGCTGGGGGAGGGGAAAGGTGCTGATCTGGACCCAGGAGACTCAAAGGGCACCTGAGACAGGGGTCAGGGGCAAATATTGGCCAGAGGTGCCACTGCAGCCCTCCCACGGAGGACAATTAGAAGCAAGCCTGTAAGAAAGTCAGAGGAGTCCAACCATACTAGAAAGTCTACAAGGCCTAGAAAAGGCAGCACTGGCAATGGAGGCAAGCCATCCACGGGAAGGCTGAAGTCACAAGAGACATACTGTGGACATGACATTCATGAATGAATTAAATGAATGAATGAATTGTAGGGCCTTCTCTAGGAAAAGACCCGCTAGTAGAAATATTTGGATTTTTTTTTTTTTTTTTTTTTTTGAGATAGGGTCTCAAGCTGACCTTGAACTTGCCATCTTTCTGCCTCAGCATCGTGAGTAGCTGGGATTATAGGAATGTACTACCTTGCCTGGCCCTCTAGCACAAAACTCATTAGAGGATTATCCTGTCACTAACAAACCCCTGCCTGTTTAAAAGCAGTCAGGGCCTAATGCCAGCCTTGCACCTGGTTAGGAGCCCAGGTAAGACCAAGTAGGGCCATGACCAGGCCCTAGGCTTCCCGTTGCTACTTACCTGTGTAACCGCAGTGGCACCTTTTCCCCTAAGCTCTTGTCACTGTGGGGATACTTCCCAGGCATGGTTCCCCGCCCCAGAGGGCCAGGAGCCAGATTATAGTCCAATGTGTGGTTCTGCTGTTTGCCACAGTTGGACTTATCCAGACCACAGTCCACCTCCAGCTCCTTCTTCTGGTTTGTGTTCTTGAGCTGGGCGGCAGGGATCAGATTGTCCTTCTGGAAGTCTGACAAGTTGTTCATGGCTTCCCTCCTGCCATCATCTGGCCGCCGAAGCCGCATCTGGCGTACAGCCACTGCCACCATGCCCAACAGCACCAGCACCACCACCAGCCCCACACCCAGGGACACAGCCACCCAGGGGAAGCTGGGTGGCAGGCCCACCGGGAATTCGCAGCGGCTGCCCACAAAGCCATAGGGGCAGTTGCACACGAAGTTGTCCGGAGAGAGGCCAGTATAGCAGGTGGCCCCATTGAAGCAGGGCCCAGAGGCACAGGCATCGCTGGACCTCGCAGGCATCCGCACCTCGCAGCGCAGGCCAGAAAAGCCCACAGGGCAGGTGCACATGATCCCCTTCTCTAGGTCATGACAAGTGCCACCGTGAGCACAAGGATTTCGGGTGCAGTCACTGATGTGGAGTTCACAGAGGGTGCCTGTGAATCCAGGACGGCAGCGGCATGTGCGGCTTGTACCTCTGTTCAGACACTGGCCCCCTATGAACACACAGTGTGCAAGTCAGCAACGACCTGGTAATCCCCTGGTTCAGGGGGTAGGGGCCCCATCTCTGGAGTATGCTTCTGCCTCCATGTACACAGCCAGCAAAGACAGAGCCCACTGCAAAGAGCTGGGGAGTCAGGAGAGTGAGAGTCTGGGGTGAGCCCAGTTCTCTTCATCTCAGTGGGCTCATGTAGCTAACATCTTATAAAATTTTCAGAGCAGCCAAATAGCTCAGTGGATTAAAGCGCCAGCAAACAGGTGCAGGGGCCCTGGGGGTTCAATCCCTGGGCCTGCCATGCCAGCCCACCCCTGGGGCACGCTGAGATGGCAATTGAGACTGGGCATGGTGGTGTGCACGTGCGCATGTGCCTGTAATCCCAACTCTTGGGAGGCTATAAACAAGTGGATCACTACAAGTCCAGGCAAGCACAAGGGTCTGAGTTTAATCCCCAGTTCCGCAAAAAAAAAAAAAAAATTACGAGTCTGATCTAGTAGTGAGACCCTGAACACCCTGTAGACCCTGCCCTAAAAATACAAAAATAAATAAATAAATATAAATAAAAATAAAACTTTCGCATGAAAGAGAGATGCTTGTGTTTGACCCTCAGCTAGCCATCTCCAATGAGGATCTGGCACCTGTCACTTTACCCTAACCCTAACCCTCAGTTTCCTCATTTGCCAGAGTGTAGGAGGATATTATGGCCTTCACAGGCTAGTTCTGAGGGTCAGGTAGGAAGGAGTGTGAGGACCAGCACATGAGGCACGAGGGCAGAGAGTGAATGCACAGATAAATGCAATCATCATCGTCTGATTTCTCTTCTCCATGGTGCTGTCTGCCTTCATTACAATCACTGGGACAAGGAGACAAAGGCTGCTTAAAACATGCTGGGCACTCCAGGCTCCATGTAGCTGCAGGGAAGGCCTCCAGGATCAGGGTGCTGCTGGCCCTCTTGAGGACGAACCTGTACACCCCCATAGCCCTCTCTCCAGCACAAGACCTCCCCAGCCAGCTCAGACTCTGTCATGGAAGTCACACCAGGTGTACACTGGGCCTCTCTTAGGCCTGTTGCTAACTTGCTCTTCTTCCAAAGCCTCCCAGTTGATCGAGCCAGATTTTCACCCCTCGAGCACATGGTAGTCACTCTCCAACCAGCCAGAATGCCTTCTTTTGCCCCCCACCTCAAAGGCTCTCAGCCCAAGCCAGTGGCCCAGGTAAATAAGGCCTTTCCTACCATTAGCACAGGGGTTGCTGGTACACCTGTCCACTTTCTTCTCACAGTTGGAGCCAGTGAAGTTGGGGGGGCATTCACAGGCATAGCTGGCTCCCTGGTTTCGTTCCCGGCAGGAGCCCCCATTGAAACAGGGGGAGTCAGCACAGGTCAGTGTGCTGTGCTCACAGTGCAGGCCATAGTAACCCGGGGGACACAAGCAGTGGTAGCCATCATCCTGGTCCTGGAGAGAGATGGTAAAAGGGCCAAAGTCAGAACCTGAAGGGGGAGGGGGCAGAGGCAGGGTGTAATCAGCACCATTTATTTTCAACCTCACAGGTACATCAAAGACAGAGGAAAAGTGCTATCTCACACTTTCCCATTCATTAATGAACACTGAATTGTTGCTCTGGGGAGTCAAAGGAGAGTAGACTCCATCCCACCCTTCTAGTCCCTCTCCACCCACAGTGCCTGTCCCTGGCTGCAAGGCTTGCATCCACTGACTGCTTAGGCTGGGCAGGCCTAGACACACTGGTTGGACCTCTGCCTTTGGGCACTCACCTTACAACTGCCCCCATTACGACATGGGTTGCTGTCACATTTGCTGAGTTCCAACTCACAGTCGATGCCAGTATAGCCTGGTCGACAGGTACAGGTGTAGCTCCGCTGCCCACTGTTGGAGCATGTGGCCCCATTCTTGCATGGTGAGTGGTGAGTGCAGTAGTTGAGATCTGTAGAGACAGGAATCGATGAGCTCGGGACACTCCCACCTCCTGGCTCCTTATACCACCAGTTCACCCCCAGGATCCCAAGAAGCTTCCACTCAAAGCCTTCTGATCCTAAATATCCTTCTCATCCCAACAAAATCATGCATACTAAAGCACGTGGAACCACATGTGATCAGTGCAGTTAGCAAGGTTGTTAAAATACAGTTAGACAGTGTCCCACCAGGTAAGCTTCACAAGCATGGCTAGTAATAAGGGATGAGGGTAGGAAGAGGAGGAGAGGGCATGGCTGTGGGTGAGAAAGTCAGAAAAGGCTTCATGAGGAGGAGCTGCTGAGATAAGCCTGAAAGGAGGGGTGAAATTTGAGCAGGTGGCCTAGAGGGGAGATGAGAGCCACCATAGGTGATGACCGGACATTTTGAAAAGGAAGAGGTTTTAAAGCAGTATTTTGGAGTGTAAGTATTTGTTCTCTTATTGGGAAAGAACAGAAAGGGAGAAACAGACAGAGCAAATATAGGGGCTGTGAGGCTGTGTTTGCCTATGATGAGTGTATATGAGTGTCAGCTGAGAACAAGTGTGGACAGAGGAGAGGGAACGAGCAGGAACCAGGTGTGTGTGTTGGAGAGGGGCAGAGAAAAGAGGGACAGTCACACACATGGAGAACACAGGGACTGTGCCACTCCCTTAGAAACATCCAGTTAAGGCCTAGAAGAGTTCCTTCCTGCCTGTCAAGCCCATGCCCTCCCCAGGCCTATGTGGAGTCCCTTGGCAGCAGGCATCCCACTTGACCCTGAAAATGGGAGGTATACACTGCAGCTGGCTACAAGGACATAAAAGAGGGCTTCCCTCCCCCAAAGTCAGGACACAAAGGCTGTTATGTAGACAGAAGAGTGACTGATACCAGATGCCAGCTAGAGAGATTGTGTGGACTCAGGCAACTGCCTGTTGAGTGCCACTGGAGGAGAATAGGGGAAGCTCTTTGCACCCACATCGAAAAGTCAGATGTGGCTCCTTTCGCCAAGAGATCCAGCTCAGCCACAGCCTGGGCAGCTAGTGGGCACACCCCACCAGGCAGCTGTTTAGGGGAGAGCTGCTCAAACAGCCCGCAAGGTAAGCAAACACTCAGAGGGTTAATAGGTAACTACAAGGTAGAAAGAGGAACTGAGCCTAGCATCCCTCTCTTCGGCCTTGCTAGAATTTATGAGGGCAACCTCCAGGCTGCCAATCTGTCATGTTGCTGGCTTCTTCTGCCACTCTGACCCCCTAGCACCTGGAGAAGAGGGACCCACCATCTCATTCTAGGCTAGCTGTAAAGATCCTTTAGAAAGTCTCAAGATCATCATCAAAGGACAAGAAAGCCAAGCTAGCATGAGCTCTGGCTCCCAGCTCTTCCCCTTACCCCCTCCCTCCCTCTCCTCACCTTGATCACAGAACAGGCCTCCCCAGCCCTCATTGCAGGTACACTGCCAGGGGGTGCTGCAGGTGCCATGGCGACAGCCGTTATGAGGGATACATTCGTTGCACAGGCGGCCCTGCCAACCTGGGCGGCAGCTGCAGGAGAAGGGGAGCCTGGGTGAGGTGAGATACCTGGCTGGGGAGGGCACCCCCACTTTCTGTCCCCCTACTCACAGGCACTCTGCTGGCTTGCTGCAGTAGCCATTCTGCTCATGACAGCCAGAAAGACAGATAGCTGAAGAAAGAGAACACACGGGCTGGGATCCGGATGCTGAAGACACTAACACTCCATTCTCCCTCCAGGCCTGGGGTGCCTGCTCTCCTGGGCTCACTTCCTACTTGGGCCTCAAAAAAGAGCCTTGGCTATCTTAACAGAAAGGAAGGCATGGGAAGGAGAATCCATGCTGGGTAGAATGCACTGTAAGTGCTTGTGGCCCTTGGAGAGATGGGAAGGAGCACCAGGAAGAGAAAGGTGGGCTGAGTCCCAGCCTCCCTCCGCATCTCCACTGGCCCTGGGACCCAGCTCCAGACTGTAGCTGGGAAGGGCCACCCTGGTCACACAGGTGGGACCTGGTTGCTTACGCTGTTCACAGTATTCTCCAGTCCAACCTGGCAGGCAGGATAGGCTGCCATCTGGCTGGCACACATAGTGGCCGAAGTGGTCGTTGCGCTTCTTGCACAGGCGTGAGCAGCTCTCCCCATAGTAGTTATCACTGCAGATGACCCGGTAAGAGTAGCGCAGCTTCGTGAGGGTGCTGGTTTGCTCCTCTGGTAACCAGTTCTCACCCACAGGTAGGGAGCCTTGGATGGCGATCTTGCTGATAAGTGCATCCGGTGGCAAGGCCTCTGAAGGAGCAGAGGGCCAGGTCAGGAAAAGCAGGCTGTCCTTTGAGAGGAGGCAACTTGTAGCCAATGCCCCCAACCTGGCTGTATTTATGCTGGTCAGCTGCAAAGTTGCCTGCTCTTCCAGATGACCCCCCACGCCGCCTGCCAGCAAGCACAGGCCAGAGAGACCCAAGAGTCCGCTGCTTAGTTGTCCTGTATGTGCATGTGCAGGGGGACCCGATATCATTCAGAACAGGGACAATAGAAGGATGTTAAGATATCCCAGTGTTCTGGAGGCAGATAGGGAGGAGAAAAAGGAAAAGAGGTCAAAATGGAAAACATAAAAGAGGGCAGAAGGAGAGAAAGAAGGAGAAAAGCTTTCCAGGCCAGGAACCCTGAGAGCAAGGTCCTCTGGTGCCCGCTCAGGGGTTCTGCTCCCAGGGGCAGGTAGTGGTTTTCTTTTTTCCTTTTCAAAGTGAGAATTGTTATGCTGCTGAAATATCCTTTTTCCTCTGTGTCAGAACAACATCCCAAAGCCATTATTCCCTTTCCAAAGGAGCGGAATTCGCGAAAGGTGTAAAATACAGGAAGGGGCCCGTCAGCGGCGCTGGCAGCTTCAGCCTTTCTCACCGCCGTGCTCCCCGCGTTCCCACGCCAAAAATAACCCGCAGGAAACGCAATTGTGCTCTGAGTCCAGGCAGCGAGCGGAATCTGAGCGTCCAGCGCGGGGCGCAGCTCCGGGCCAAGCAAAGCGTCCTGCCCCCTACTCGTACCCCGCGCTTCCCCCGCCTCAAACAAGTTAACTCTTTCGGCGCTGCGCCGTGTCGCCCCCCTGTGGCTGAGCAGCGAGACACTCACCTGGCCGCAGGTCGTCTCCAGGCGCGTGCCAAGCTTCAATGATGAGGGAGAAGGTGCCCTGGGAAGCGAAAGCGGGTGGGGGACGAGACAGTGCGAGATGAGCAGGGCGGGAGAGAGGGGTGCTTCGCGGCGGCCAGTTTAATTAATCTAATTGCAGGATACAGTTACTGCGCCCGAGTCCACATAACGGGCCTGCGTACAATGTGGCGCGAGCTGGGAAGGCGAGAGGAGAACCCAGGATGGGGGAGGGACGAGGGATGGGGAGGGTAAGTGAGAGCCTGGAGGGGGGGTCTGGTGTGCCGCGCAAGGGTGCTTGGTAATGAAAATCGAGTCTCGAGAGCTGGGGGAAGGGAGGGCAAAAGACTGGGAAGACCGGAGACTGGTGAGTCTTCTAGGGATGAGGTCCCAGGAGAGAATCAAAAACAGCGGGCCAGAAGAGAATGCATCCCTGGGCATTGGGGAGGATCTCGGGAGGGGGCTTGTTCTCGGGTGCTCCCTTCTTTCGGCTTCTGAGGCCACCCCGCGCGCCCAGGTTGTGCTCACCGGCCAGGTGAAGTTGAAGGGCAGTTGGAGAGGGTTTCGGCCCCCGCCGCTACTGTCGTCTCCAATGGCGAAGGAATTGATGCCCAATACCGGTGTGGAGACGCTGCCGAAGGTACACGGCCCAGGCGAAAGGACTGCCTGGAAGTGCTTTAGGCAGATGCGGAAGAAAGTCCGGCAACCGGGCTCGCACGGCCTCCCACTGGCCAGAACGCCGTGCTCGTTGGCGAACTCCTGCAGCTGCAGCTGGAAGACGCCGGAGCCGGCTGCGCGCTATTTCACGGGGACCAGGAAAGGAGGGAGAGCGGTCAGCTCAGCGGGCGCCAGGGCTCGAGCCCCGAGCGCAGCAGGAGGGGCAGAGAGGACGCGGGACGTTACCTGCTGCCAAAGTGCCACCAGCAGCAGTAGCTTCCACCCGGAGCTGCTCCGGACCGGGGCCGCCATCCCCCCGGGCCTCGAGCTTTCCACCTGCAGGCCCTGAATCGGGTTCTGTTGGGTATGATGCTTTCCTGCGCGTCCGCCCGCCAGTGGGGTCACTGAAAAGCTGGCAGCTCTTGACACACTCCTCCTCAGTCGCCTCCACGCTAGTTCGGCGGTAGCTGCCTCGTAGGTAATCCAGGTGAAGGCCACCGGGCGGTGGCCGCACTAAAGACGTGTCCTCGGGCTAATCCTGAGACGGCGCGGGCGAGAGTCGGGTCCGCCGCACCGAAGTGCTAAAGCTGCGGCACTTAGCCTCGTGTTTCTGGCCTGCGCGCAGCGCCGCTACTGAAACCTGCAGGCTCGGGAGCTTTCCTTATATATATTGACTCCTCTTATCGCCGCCTGTCACTCAGACAGACTCACGGTCAGTCTCCCCTCCCTCTGGCCTCTAGCTGCGACAGTCCCAGTGCCGACCGGAGGGGGCCGCCCCCCCAGCCAGTCGGGCCTAGGTCCCGCCCCTCTGTTCCTCTTCCAGCTGCCGAATCCCCAGATCTGCGCGGGCCGAAGTGACCAGCCACCGTGATCGCCCGGTTAAGGGCTGAGACCCCAGCTGCCCGAGGACACGGGGGCGGCCGGAGGATGAGGCGGGAGGTGAGCGGGCGGTTCCCGAGTGGTCCCGGGAGTAGAGACCCTAGGGAGTCCCCGGTGGCGGCGCATCTGCAGCGGATGCTGCTACCTGCTGTCCTCCAGTAGGTAAAAAGAATTTAAACCTGGAAAGCAAAGACTAGCGCCTCAGGACGCTGGTTTAGAAGTAGTAGGAGTATCTACTACTGCTCTTTCCCGGGTCTTTGGTAGCCCTCGCTTCATCGACCTCCAACCTTGGGTCGCCCACCCACCACGTGTCCCCAGCGCAGCGGGGAAGCCAGCAAAAGGCACATTAACCTCTGTGCGGCCGCTCCAGTAAGGAGCTCCGGTCGCGCTCCATGCACCTGGTGGGCGTCTCCCGCTCGCCTGCGGGGCGTGCCCAGCGCGTGCCTGCTTCTCCCGCCTAGACCCCCGCCTGGCTCGGCTCGTGCCAGTGCCCTGACTTGCAGTCCCGAGGTAGGGGAGGTGAGGAAAGGTCCCAGAGGTAGTCGTGGGCGCGTCCTCAGCTGTATGGTAATGAGACTCTGGCCCCTCCGTCAGAGCCTGCTCACCTGTCTCGCTTCAATTCCCTTGCCCTCCCTGCCCCCCTTGTACTCCCTAAGCCCCCGCCAGCGTCCTGTCGCTTCGCTTGTAGAGGGAGGAACTCTCTTGACTCGAGTTGCCTCGGGCCACTGGATTGTCCAGGTGGGGACTGAGGCCCGGTAGTTCCAGCCCGCTCATAGGTCGGCTACGGGGTGGAACTGCAGCCGCAGGAGTTGAGTTTCGGATGGCTTCTAGTCTCGCCCACGCTCTCCGGGTGGCCTCCCTGCTCCGCGCGCCAGGGCGCAGCTGCTTTCCCGGAACCCGGCGTGATCCCTGGAGGCCGCTGACTGAGGAGGGCCGGCTTCGCCCAATCTCCGGGGTGCCTGGGGATCTCGCTCTGCAACGCCGCTGGCGGCGGAGCCCTGTAGCTTCAGCTGTCAGCCGCGCGCGCAGCGATGGCTGTTGCTGGACGATAAGATCAGTGCAGGGGGAGTGGGGACGCGGCGCCAGCCCCGGGGAGGCCGGGGGGGGGGGGCGCTGAGCCCAACAGCTGCCAATGCCAAAGCATGGTCTGATTTTTTGACTTGGGTGGTAGTGGTGGATCCGGGAGGATGAGAAACAAGAGGTTGGGAGCGTGGGTTGGGGGAGGGGCGAGGTGAGAAGCCGGGCTCCGGGGTCCCCCACGCACGGCCACCCCTCCCAGCCACCATCTGGCGCGAGCGGGTTGGCGTGGGGAACGAAGTGGGGCGGGGGCCGGCAGATGGGCCCAGGCTGCGCTCAGAGTTAATGTAGGTTATGGGCTGGCGGAGTCCCAGGCCCGAGGGGGGGCCCGGGGCGTGCCTTCGGGCGATTCTAGCAAGTGGGCTTCCAGATCCTCCCCGCGCACATTCTATGGACCTGTCTAGGAAGCCAGAGGGTGCTCCTCACTCTCCTAAAGCTGGCATCCAGCCCCATCTAATTCTGCGGGTCCCAACCTCCAAACCTGGCCTGGGAGTTCATAAAAACATGCTTTTTTCCTGGCACCAGCACCGGCCTGACACTCAGGGGAGATATCTACGGCCATCATGCATCTCTGGTGGACCTGAAACTAGTCTCCACCCTGCCCACACTGAGATGTCCAGGTTGCTTTGCAAACAACCAAGGAACAAACAAGAATTGTGATCATTATTATCCTAACGGACAGGCAATATGAGGGATTCTAGAGATATAGAAAGCCCCTGAGCCAACAAGGAAAGAGTTAAATTCTCAAAAGCACTTATTTGCTGGGGACACCATCTCAGAAACTCATTTCCTGTCCAGGATGCCATCCTGGTCCTGGGACCCTATGTTTGATAACCTACACAGGTTCCCACTGTGAGCAAGGCATCCCAGTATGTCTCTGGAGGCCATACAGCAGGAACTTCTCCTAAATGTGACTTGATGGCAAAAAATATAATGCAAATCCTAGGTCACATGGGCTCAAAGGAGCAGGAGGCTGTGAAGTGATGGGAGGTTGCAGAGCACCGTAGAACTAGACACTCATCAAAATTTGTGATGCTACCCCGAGGGAGACGCTGGACGTTGTCCTAGAATGGGCATAGACCCAGGGCCTGAGCAACCTGGGCTCCCGGTTCCAGAAACTTTCCTTGGTCCCAGGAGCATGGTCTGGAGCCCTGGGCTCTTGCAAGGACCACAGCCACTTTCCCCGGAGGCCTCTGCTTCTGCTATTTCCTTGGCTTGACCATCCCCCACACACCTGGGGCTATGAAAAGCCATGGTTGCCTTCCACTCCTGCCCTCTGATGAACCCATATTATTGGGATGCTACAGAAGCTACAGGGAGCCTTGGGACCCCTTCCTTCCCACCTAGCCGGAATCGTCCCGAGAGCGATAGGCACAAAACCCGCTTCACCCCTTCCATCCCATGCCATCGCTCCCTGGACCCTGCACACTGCACCCAGCAGAAGCGTGGCGGAGTCCGGGCCACAGCACCCACTGGGCAGGCAGGAGGCGGGGAAGTAGGCCTGGCAGGGGCGGGGCGCCTAAGCCTTGAGGGGCGCCCGCTGTGGTTGCTGCGGAGAAGGGGCCACGTGCAGGGAGCGGGCGGCCGGGGAGCTGCACAGAAGGCGGGGAGATTTGCAAACTGTTGCTGCCACATGGCTGCTCCATTCGATCCATTCACATTGAAATGAGGCCGGCGCGTGCCTCATCTGCCGCAGGGCGCTGCCACGCGTCAGCCCGGCCCGCCGCGTGCCAACTGGGGCAGTGGGGCTGGCAGGGCCTGGCAGCCGTGGGGGCGCGGCCAGGAGGGGGCAGGGGAAGGGAGTCAGCTGCCCCAGCCGCCCAGGCGCCTCAGTCCTCGGATCCTGGCCTTCATCGGGAGCTGGCCGGCAGGGCAGAAAGGACCAGGACGCACAGCTTCAGAAGGTCCAAGATCGATGCCGCCGCTCCCCGCGGATGCGCCCGGGCGGCGCTGCTCTCCATCTGCCGCCGCTCGCACCTGCCGGTCAATAAATCGATTTTACAATTTAATGCAGCAGCTTCCCGCCCGCCCGCCCGCCTGGGACAGATGCCGCAGCAGAGGCGCCTCCGCCCTCGCCCTCCCCCGTGGGGCCGGGTAGGCACGGGTTCCTGCGCGGCAGGCGGCGCCCCAGGCACTAGTGCCCCTCTGGCTGGAGCCCCTACAAGGAACCTCCAGCTCGGGCTTTCCCCAAGAGACACAGTGGAACGGTTCCCCTAAGACAGGCCCGAGGCTGGCTGAGGAAAGCAAGGTGATGACTGGGCTGTGGCCCTGAGAACTGACTGGGCGCTTTAGGGGAGGAAGAGACTACCTTGAGTGGTAATAAAATGTGAGGCAGAGGGGGAACATAGGGCACAGGACCATGAGACCCATGAGTTGTGAAAACTTAGTTGGAGAACTGGGTGGGGTCAAGAGATGATTGAGGTACTGGGGTCTCTGCCCACCCTCCATGTCAGTCTGGTGAGTTGGCATGACCAGGACCTGGCATTCTCATATTCTATTCACCTTAGGCTTATAACTTCAACTCTCTACCTCAGGTTTCTCATCTGTGCCACGGAAATAACAAGTAACCTTGAAGGGTGACAGAGGGATCACATCAAAGGACCAGGGATTCAGTTTAGCAGCACAGCACCCTCCTGGCAAGCATGAGGTCCTAAGTTTGATTCCAGATACCTCTCTCAAAGAGGGTTCATTATCAGGTTACCCAATTGCAGGACCCAATAAACAATATTCCACCCCACTCTCACTGCCCCTGGTAGACATATAGACAGTCACAGCTGACTTAGGGAGATGAGGCGATGTCTAAGAGCAAATGGGTTCCAGGAAGAAAAAGGAAAGCTGAAGATAAACACTCATAATAGATGAGGCATGTAGGGGTGAAAGAGAAAGAAATGGAAAGGCCAACTGTTTGGTAGCCTTCTGTAGGGCCAGGGTGCAACAAAGTTCATATTTAGGGCTAAAATGGAATTTTGTGAATGGATTTGCAGAAAAGGGGACAGTTAGGATGAATCAGCTGCCTATACCCTTAGCTTTGCAGAGATGACCTCCTTTCCAAGACCAAGTGTAAGTTGAAAATTGCAACCCTCCTCTGAACTTCTGAATTGCTCTAATCATTGAGGGTCCCAGCAGCTCAGGAAAGCTATTTCCAAGAGGGCATGAAAACTGAGCTACTGTGTCCCCTGGCAGGTAGCCCATGGCTGATGATCCAGATATGCTATGGAAAGGACGCCCAAGGGGCTGGACACCAGGAGGCTCTCTGGTCCCCCTCTTCCTCAGGATCCCAGGAACCTAAAGACCTAGATTAGTCTCACATTTCTTTCTCCAGGGATCCAGTGTAGGCAGTGCCTGTAACTGGGATAACTGGTGTAGATTGTGCCCTCTGCATAGTAAGAACAGCTCCAGCCTACAGAGACAGTGAGCCCAAGAATGAAGAGGCTGAGGGTCCTGGGAGCTTCTTCTGTGACTTGTGGATGGTAGGCAGCTCTCCCTAGGTCTCCTGGGCACAGGTCAGGAGGAGAGGAGAGAAGAGGGGTAGGGTGAAGACCTGGCAGCTGCAGAGGCTGAAACAGGCCTGCCTGCAAGGGCTCTGAATGGTGACCAGGCAGCTGCCTCTACTTCTGCCAAAACCAGGGGATGCCTGGAAAGCTAGGGCCAGGAGCCACACAGCGGGTATTTCCAGCCACA